ACCTTAACCAAAATCAAAGTAGACTATCACTCACCCACACCAAATGGAAAACTCTACAGACTGTCGGTTATATATATCGTCATATATATATTGTCAAATAGAACTGCCCGGTAAACCGTAGGCAGGGAGGGAGAAGAGGACAACAAACGAGGGGCTGTGACAAACTGTTTCGTCGGAGTTTCACCGACTCATCAGGAGGCTGTATATATATATATATATATATATATATATATATCGTCATATATATAGGCCAAGCCGGGCAAGTTGCCCCAGGCCACTCTGGTAGCCTAGCTGGTGGTTCACTAAACCCATTTAGACAAAGGGGGGTTATATATGATGATAAGGCTGTAAAGCCATCTTTTGCGGCCAGAGATAAGGTTATATATTAGTTCTGGACTATTTCCAAGCTTGGAGCACCACCCTAGAGGTAGCAGCAGGGTCTCCAGGGAGCACAAAAATGCCATCTTTTGCAGCCAGAGAATGTTTCTCTTTTTTATTTTTAAATTTTTTGCCCTTCCGAGATTTTAAATATTTTTGCCGGAAAGGTCAGAGGCACTCAGTCCGTGACTCCGATTTTCTTCACACATTTTTTTTGTCCAAAATTGCGGGCACAAGAAAATCCAGGCGACGAAAATTTTGTGAAAAGTTGAAAACCCACTAATCGCCCAAGTTCCCCAACCCACCCAACAGCCAGCGGCAGGTGCCGGAATGCGAATTTTTGAACGAAACACTATGAATCGATAGTCATCTTGCCATATATATAAATATTCAATTGTATGGTGTAGTCAAATAGTTGAAAAACAAAAACAATTCTAAGCAATAAAACAATGACAAAGTCTGTTCGGCTGTAGGACGCATGTTTGATTGTTGTCTCCCTTTTTCTTTCAGTTTCGTATTCCAACGAATTTTACACCAGCACATTCCCAGCCATTTTTTGTCCAATTTGCCATGCATGTGTCCGCAAGTTTCGGGGGTCAGCCTGCTGGAGCAAAATGGCTTGAGGCGTCATCCAAAAGAAGGCCCACGAAACTTCCGTCTTTTTTTGGCGCACAGTGCGTTTCCGCAAGTTTCGGGGGTTAGCCTGCTGGAGCAAAATGGCTCGACGCGCCATCCAAAAGAAGGCCCACGAAACTTCGGTCTTTTTAAAAGAAGGCCCACGAAACTTCCGTCTTTTTTTTGTGCACAGTGCGTTCCCGCAA